CCTGTCTAGCAAGCGGCTCTTTTTTGGCTTAACCCCTTCAGTGCTGCAGACCGATGGAGAAAAGGCTGCGTGTCCTTTGCAGACCCGGACGGACTTCAGCCAGGCTGCCCTCAAGGGATGTCCTGTGATACTCAGCTGCTCTGGAGTAACGCTGCAGGGGATCGCGCTCCCGGGGTGCGCCAGGCTGTGCAGACAGCTCAGAAAACGGCACTGTTGAGGGGGGGAGGGGGGGAGAAGGAATAAGGATATAAGAGAAGCCAGTGTTGGATCAGGCTCATGGCCCATCCAGTCCAACACTCTGTGTCACCCAGTGGCCAAAAATACCAGGTGCCATCAGGAGGTCCAGCAGTGGGGCCAGGACACTAGGAGCCCTCCCACTGTTCCCCCCCCCCAAGCACCAAGAAGACAGAGCATCCCTTGCCCCAGACTGAGAGTCCCTATCTATACCTTGTGGCTAATAGCCACTGATGGACCTCTGCTCCATCTTTATCCATAAGAACATAGGAGAAACCAATGATGGATCAGGCCAGTGGCCCACCCAGTCCAACACTCTGGGTCATCCAGTGGCCAAAAATACCAGGTGCCATCAAGAGGTCCAGCAGTGGGGCCAGGACACTAGAAGCCCTCCTACTGTTGACCCCCCCCCAAGCACTAAGATGACAGAGCATCACTTGCCCCAAAGCCCCTATCTATACCTTGTGGCTAATAGCCACTGATGGACCTCTGCTCCATGTGCTTATCTCATTCCCTATTGAAGCTGTCCATGCTTGTAGACGCCGCCACCACCTCCTGTGGCAGTGAATTCTGTGTGTTAATCACTCTTTGGGGGGAAGAGGAGGAGGAGAAGGAGAAGAAGAACAACAACAACTGCAATCTCAGGCCAAGCAATCTGTTTAATTTGGATTGTGTGTTTTTATTCTGTTGTCAGCCGCCCTGTTGTAAGAGCGGCCTAAATGTCTAATAAATAGATAAATAAAAATAAAACACAGACTCCTCCTCAGGTGTATATCCCGTGAGACTTATTTCTAGCAAAGTGGTTTAAAATTGAAAATCGGTGTTCCTTCAGCCTCTCCCGGTTTTTCAGAGCTGCATCCCAGCGAGACCGCTCTCTGTTTGGTGTAGTGGTTAAGTGCGCGGACTCTAATCTGGGAGAACCGGGTTTGATTCCCCACTCCTCCACTTGCACCTGGCTGGATGACCTTGGGCAAGCCGTAGTTCTGTCAGAGCTGTCCTTGAAAAAGAGCAGTTTCTGTCAGAGCTCTCTCAGCCCCGCCTAACTCACAGGGTGTCTGTTGTGGGGAGGGGAGGGGAAGGGAAAGGAGTTTGTAAGCTGCTCTGAGACACCTTTGGGTAGTGAAGGGCGGGGTATAAATCCAATCTCCTCCTCCTCCTCCTCCTCCTCCTCCTCCTTCTTCTGCTGTCACTTCCTGGGGAGTGTCTTGAGTCTACCGTATTGGATATGGTCACCACCTCCTTCTTGGGAAAGGGGGATGCCAGCCTCCAGGAGGGACCCCCGAATGACAGCTCTTCTCCTGTTGACAGAGAACAGTTTCCTGGGAGAAAATGGATGCTTTGGAGAGTAAACTCTATGGCCTGGTAGAAGCCACAGAGGTCTCTGTCCTCCCCAAACTCCACCCCCAAATCTCCAGGAGTTTCCCGACCTGGAGCTGGCAACCCCGCTTCCCCCAGTGGCCATTCCAGCTTGTACCAGGTGTTCTATAAGAACATAAGAGAAGCCAGTGTTGGATCAGGCCAATGGCCCATCCAGTCCATCACTCTGTCACACAGTGGCCAAAAATACCAGGTGCCATTGGGAGGTCCACCAGTGGGGTCCTTTTGTCCAGAGTCATTTTTGCCTGGAAGGTGTTAATAAAAAAGCGAGAGTTCTGTGTTTTGATTTCTAAAATACTGTTCTCAATTGTCTGTAATGCCTCCCACCGTTTCTGGCAGTACTATTGCTTGTTTAATTCCTGTTCTGGGGACGTTCTGGAGGCATTTTGACCTGGAAAGGGTTAATAAAGGTGCGAGAGTTTCACGTTTTGATTTCTAAAATATTCTTCTTGAGTGTCTGTAATCACCAGTTTGGGTTGAACTGAGCACACTTTCCGAGAGACCTCTCTCTTCCAGTACAATGAACTATTTGAGGCCAGACTTCAGATCTTGTCTCAGTAGAACAGACAGTGAACTTCTTAAGAGACAATGATTTTATTTAAAATAAAGCAACAGTTATAAATGGAACACTGCAAAAAATTAATCTACAACCCCTTATGTGTTATTTTAAAATGCACATTTTTAGACTATCAGTTTTATGAAATATATCTTCAGCACTAATAATAACAAAACCTCAATAATATAATGTCTGATGTTGTTTCAGTAGCGCAATTCACAAGCTTTAAATAGTACTTCCAAACAATCGATATTCTACGCAGAGTAGTCCATTGAAGATTGCAGAATATCCTGCAAGAGCCAGTTTGGTGTAGTGGTTAAGTGCGCAGACTCTAATCTGGGAGAACCGGGTTTGATCCTCCACTTGCAGCTGCTGGATGACTTTTGGCAAGCCAAACTTCTGTCAGAGCTGTTCTTGAAAGAGCAGTTCTCGAAAGAGCTCTCTCAGCCTCACCTACCTCACAGGGTGTCTGTTGTGGGTAGGAGAAGGGAAAGGAGATTGTAAGATGCTCTGAGACTCCGAGTGAAGGGCAGGGTATAAATCCAGTCTCCTCCTCCTCCTCTTCTTCTTCGTTTCTAAGTGGACTTCTGAGGCTTTGTACAATGTTTTTATAGACTGTAGAACAGGCAGTTGAAGTCCACTTAGACAGAGAGCCCTCTGGGGTTGCTTTGAATCAAATCTCTACCGTAAAGCAGATGCTTTGCTTTGCAGGCACAGAGAGGCGGCATTGAGGCCTGGCATCTCCAGTTAAAGGGATCTCAGGTGAAACAGGGCTGGCAAACACCCTGGCCAGGAAGACCCTGCCTTCCAGAGTGGGCAATACTGGGCTAGACTTGGCATAAGGGCCGTAAGAATAGGCAGAAGGAAACTGCCTCTTGTCCTGGACTACGGGAAATACAGGCCATAGTAAGAGAAGGAGGAAGAGATGAAGAAAGAGGGAGAAAGTAGATCATAGCTGTCAACTGAAGAGCGTGTTGGTCTCCTTTAGGGTTGCCAGGTCGGGGTTGGGGAGTAGGATTGTGAGATTCCGGAAGTGTGTCAGAAGGCAACACCCACCACTCAGGCTCCACTGGACTGTTTTGGATTGCTAGCTGGGGGGGGGGGGAGGTGCGGATTCGTCCCCCGAGAGGAGGAAGAGCTTGTACCTGACTAAAACTTGGTCTTAAAGGTTCCACTGGACTGTTTTGGGCTGAGGGGGGGGGGCTCTGCAGCTTACCTGGCTGCTTCTTGCTCTTACTGAGAGCTGCTGGGAGAAAGGGGTGGGGCTTGTTGCATGCCCCCGCCCCCTGGGCTCTTTACTGCCGGAGCTCCGCTCCTGTGCGCTCCTATAGGAAATGATCCCTGGTTATACGGATAGCCAACTGGCAAATTTTAAAAAAAGCAGAAATGACTCACACACACACTCCACATGCAGGGAAGGAAACACAGCTGTCATTGGGGCAGGGGATTTGAAATCGCAGTCTTCCCGCCTTGCTTGGGAGATTCATCTTCTCCCCATAGCAGCTTTGGGCAAAATCGCAGAAAACCCGAGTGAAACTCCAGCAGATGCCTAAGAGTGAAAAAAACCGAGTGAAACTCCAGCAGATGCCTAAGAGTGAAAAAACCCGAGTGAAACTCCAGCAGATGCCTGGGGAAGCAGGACAAATTAATTCCCCGAGGCGTTGAACCCGGAGCAAATCAGCTGCGGGGAGGAGAGCTGACCAATGTCCCCTCTAAGCTGTGGAGTCTTGTGAACAAAAATTCTACTTGGCGAACTACTATTAAAGTTGTGTGAGAGAGAGCGATTGGGCTGCTGCATAAATCAGTTTGTTCTGGAGACGGTCCTTCCTGAGCGAAGACAAAAATGTGCGTGAGCCGGAGGCTAAAAAACTGTGAGCTGGCTCACATTCACTCAGCTTAGAGGGAACACTGGACCTTCCCCATTCCTTCCCTTTTTTTCCCCGTATCTTACTCGAACCCCCCCACTTCTTCTTCCTAAACGCGCCTCTGTGTCCGGACTCGGAGCCACTTGAATGTCCTCCAGTCTCCAAAGGTTCCGGATTCGGATCCTGTGCTCAAGTCCTCCGCAGGAACCTCGTGGGCTCTGCACAAAGGGAACCAGCGGCTCTCCATGGGGCAGAAGTGCGGGTGGGGGGATCAAAGCGAGGCAAGGGAGAAACCGGGGGGGGGGCGGGGGCTCTCTTCGCGCCCCCACGCCCTCCCCCCACCGCTACATCCCCCTTCCTTGCTCTCTTGCATTGCAGCCCCCCAACCCTATATTCTCCTCCAAAGCCTCTTTGAGCTCCTCAGAATACCTCCGAGCCCTTCAAGTAGAAGCCCCCAAGATTCAGAGGTGCTTTCTTTGCAAGAAGAAAAGAAAATTGCTTCCCCCCCCTCGTGCAGCCCCCCCCCATGTTCCTTTTTAGGACTGCATTTCTCTTATCTCTTTAACCCTTCCAGACAGTACTACTCATTTTGTAAAATAAAAAGAGGTGGTGGTACCGATCCTATCTAATTTATTACAGCAAGAGAGCCAGTAAAACAGTACTGTACAATTCTGATATAAGAGAGATTAAAACAGTGATAGCACAGCAGTAGTATGAAAACATTTAAAAGTAAACGTAAAGGTTACCTTGCTCGAAAGCCAGTCGAGTCTGACTCTAGGGTTGCGGTGCTCATCTCCGTTTCAAAGCCGAAGGACCAGCGCTGTCCGCTGGTCATGTGGCTGGCATGACTAAACACCAAGGCGCACTGAACGCTGTAAAGTAAAGGTAAAGTTTCCCTTGTTCGAAAGCCAGTCGAGTCCGACTCTAGGGTTGCGGTGCTCATCTCCGTTTCAAAGCCGAAGAGCCAGCGCTGTCCGGTGGTCATGACTAAACACCAAGGCGCACTGAACGCTGTTACCTTCCCACCGAAGTGGTACCTATTTAAAGTTCCCTTGCTTGGAAGCTTGTCGAGTCCGACTCTAGGGTTGCGGTGCTCATCTCCGTTTCAAAGCCGAAGAGCCAGCGCTGTCCGAAGACGTTTCCGTGGTCATGTGGCAGGTATGACTAAACACCAAGGCTGTTCCCTTCCCACTGAAGTGGTCCCTATTTATCTACTTGCAATTTCTTGCTTTCCAACTGTTAGCTTGGCCGGAGCTGGAACTAGAGAGGGGAGTCATGCAGCACACTCGGGTCTCGAACTGCTCAACTACCGACCTTCCACAGCCTGCAGTTCAGCCTCTTAACTACTTGAGCCACCGCAGCTCCTTAGAAACATTAATTCATTTTTAAAAAAATGAAACTTACAAAATAAAATAACAAGAGAACCATACAATTTTTTTCAGCTAAAAACGGGGGTGGCGGACGGTGGTACTCATATATAAAGTGGCACTGGTTTCCCCCAGCCCCCCCCCCCCAAGGAATTGGGGA